CAAGCATTTTTTGAGAAAACTGCAACATTTCCTTATCGATGGTTCACTTTCTAAAAAGGCCATTTAGTTCTCTTTGGAATGATGTAAAAACGAGCCTTCTTGCTCATTTTGCTTCCGAGAAACATTCAAAACGGGACGGAAAACATGAAATTTTGAATTTAAAGCTGGATCCGCCCCTGTTTGGGGATTCAATTATTTTTTATTAATCCATGTAATTCCAGGACTGGTGTCGCCCCAAAAACGTCTGTCTGGAGGTGTTCACTTCGTCGCCTCGATCCCGAAGAACCCCAGTGGCAAAATCCTGCGAAGGCAGCTGCGGGACTGGCTGAAAATCCACAGGCGGTCCTTTCAATCGAAATTATAGTCGCTGTAGAGTAATGTCGTTGTTTTCCTGCTATCAGCAGCAACCATTCGCAACCGAAAAATCCTCAAACTTACCTCAAGGGTGAGGCCAATGCCTCTTACACTACTATGCGCTGATTAAAACATCTGCGGCATGACTAATGATGGCTACATTATCGCCCGGGCTTGTAATAGTTCGATTATCAGCAGCAGGAATAAATCGGTTGCCGGTTGGGTTGCTTAACCTCGGATTTCGATCAATCTGAATGCCCGCAGGAGAGCCTCTAAAGGCCGCTGTTGGAAATTTGAAACCGCAGCAGCAAACGCTTGTACCAATATGGTAATGAAGCCAAATTGGAAATTAAAAGTGATTTAAATGGCCTGCTGCCTGCGTGTTATAAGCGGCTCGACTTAAATCCTGGCCGATATGGCTTGTGTGTGTGTTAAGTGTTAACGGACGGCAATTAATTCAAGAAATGGGACAGAACTGAAGATAAAAAAAACGTATACTAGCGAATATTTAACTATAGTTCGTCGTCAGTCAACTGCTCAGCGTCTGAGTCTACAGGGCGGGCTCCGCTCTCTTCCAGGTACTTCCCGTACTGCTCAGGGATCCTTTTGAAGGTGCGCACTTTCTGCCTGAGCTGCTTCCAGGTCTCCTGAAGGTAGTTTTTGTTGTCCCTGGCCATCGCTTTGTAGTCAGTCCCGTGCTTTTTCAGCAAATACGTTATCCACTCCACCTAAACAACCAGGATGTTTCAAAGTTTCCCAGGAGTTTCAAGCCTTACCTGGCCTTTGGGCAGCCTGAAGCGCTTTTCCCTCGGCGCTTTTGCATCGGCCTCCAGTCGTTCAGCCACGAACTTCTTCGCAGGTACTCGTGGGTTTTCCAGTGGCTCTTCAGTGACACCTGCAAAGGGTGTTTGTTAGGAATCGCAGAAATCGTAGCCCTAGGGCTAAGGGGCACCTACCCATCGCTTCTTGCAGCTGGCGCTTTCTTTTGGGTATGCCCAGGGTCCTGTTGGGGTCATAGGACAGCCCCATCTCCTCCATGTTGGTCTGGACTGATTTCTTCTCATCCCATGCGTTCTTCACGTCCTTGCTAACAGGGAAAAGGGGCTAGATCTGCGATATGTGGGGGCTAGAGGTGCTGTACTTACCAGCCGATGTTTCCAGTGCTGAATATTTTATTCCGCAGCCTTTTGCGGTTTACGTTGTGCTTGTACACCTTTTTCCTGCGTTGTTTTCGTAGTTTTGGCATGATTCAGTTTGCAAATTTCCAATAACACTAACTTAACCTAGGAAAGTTAACCTAACTTAAAGGAAAACGCTTCATTTCGTTCTTCGGACATGTGCATTGCCATGTTGCCAAAGACTTTCGTTTGGGTTTAGATCATGACGTCATTGGTAGCCAAAAAACTCACTAGGTTTGGTGCGTTACAATTATTACTGGAGTTCAGGGTAATTTTCTGGTTTACTTGCTAAACCAGGCTGCTCACCGTGTAGATTATGCATTCATAATCACTTCTTTGTGCAAATAAATGTTTCTCCATTGTATATACTTTCCACAACAACGCTACACATAAAAACTGATGATGGTGGAAAAATACACCGAAACGTATTTTGATTGATAAATAGAGAGAATAAATTACTGAAACCCAGGAATGAATTTGATTTGGAATAAATTTTTCAGCCAGTTTTTCACTGATAATCTTCACAAAATTTTCTCAAACTTTGGCAATTGTTAAGATCAGGGGCCTTTCTACCGCTTTTCTTTAACTTTCGGGCCCAAGAAAACCCACAACAATAACCATGAAAGTACCGAAATGTCAATTTATTACTCATCCATTAAAAAAATTGCGCCTTGCGACAAATGCATATAATATCAATAATGACCGATTTTTAAGAAAATTGATAAACCTGATAAAATCCCTAGTATTTACAGCTAGAAACTATTCATGAAAATGCAACACACTATGTACAATGATGCAATTAAAGGGCAAATTAACCATTCCATATATAAAAGGCACTGGAATTACATATAATTCTAGTGCGACTTATACAAGACGTCCAAACCGGACAATCGGAGTTGATAGGAATTGCACAAAATAAAATCTTGTGCGCACATACAAAAAAATAACTTATTTAAATATAGAATACGAGGGTCAGCCGGTATCAGTGGTGGTATCGTCCGAGCTTGTCTTTGAACTCTCCTCACCTTAGAAGAAAGACATTGATTAATATCCCGTGGGAACACCCAGCTCTAATTCAGACATTCCTCATGCTTGTTAAAGAAAAATTGCATCTACTGCTCCAATCATGCCGTAAACATTCGCTAAGATCACATTTTTACCAGAGAAGGGATTTAAAACGCGTCTAACCCCAGGACATTCTAACTACTTTCAGGCATGGTACACACCTAGAAATAAGACAGCTCTTTATTCTCTCATCTATTCTCTTGCTCGCCTGGTGCTGGAAAAACAATGCCTGGTTTAAAGAGCTTCTAACTGAACACTTATTTGGTACTTGTCCGATGGTTGTGCAACCACCACCTTGCAACTAAATCTACTTACTTTTTTCCGATTTCACCTCCTCTTTGGGCTTCTCCTCCTCCTTGCTCTCGGTGGTTTTGTCGAGCCTTGGGCGTTTCCTGTTTTTGTAACTCCTACAAAGCGTTAGATTAAAATGAGACACTCCCAAGTGCCTGATAGATTAGTTACCTGTTGTCCCTCCGGCCACCTTCGCCTTCATCCTCGCTGTCTGAGAACTCATTATCCGGCACGATGCGTTTGTCCAGCTCCTTCTGAGGCAGCCGCTCGTCTTTGTCCGCCTTGTCGTCGTTGTCGCTCTCCTCATTGATGGCGTCTTCAGGAATAGCCTGAACTTGAACCCCTGGGGCATGCGGCAGCATTCGCAAGTTCTCGAATAACCTGGAAAATGTGCATTTAGTCTGGATGGCTGGCGGATTGGGAAGTGGCACAATCGCACCTAGTTTTGATTTTTTCCAGATATTCCTGCGTGTTTTGATTAGCCATGTTGCTAGGGCTGATGTGCAACTTGAAGTCAGGACCAAAATACTCAAAGTAGTCGTTGTAGGGCAGCTCGTTGGCAATGTCCACGCCTAAAGCCACCGAAGTCTCGTAGGTCCACGCTCTGGATACATTTCTTATTGTATACCCGCCACCTCCAACCATCATGAATGGAAGGTTATACTTCTTGACGAACTCCACGCATTTGCCGTGTCCTTTAACAGTCAGATTGAAACAGCCCAATCGATCTCCAGTGAGAGAATCGGCGCCACATTGCAGGACCTGAAACTCTTCGATTGGAAACTCCGCTTTGGAGAACAGAGGAGTACTCGCTTACCACAGCACTGGGCTGGAATGTTTCCATTACTTTGCTGATAATCGGCACAAAAATACTTTCATAGGATTCGTCGTCCATGCCGTCACGAAGCGGAATGTTCACGGCATAGTATTTGCCTTTACCCGCGCCGATATCTCGCAAATCACCAGTTCCTAGCACAGAACCACTTCGGAAACGGTCTTACGGCACCATTATTAACACATACCTGGGAAGTACTCTCCATATTTGTGAAACGAGACAGTCATCACGCGATCGGTAGTGTAAAAAGCCTCCTCTACACCATCGCCGTGATGCACATCAATGTCGATGTAGAGCACTCGTTGATGGTACTTCAGCAACTCCAAGATGCCAAGCACAATATCGTTCACGTAGCAAAAGCCAGATGCTTCAGATTTCTTGGCGTGATGCAACCCTCCGCCCCAATTTATGCAAATTTCCGATGCCTGCTTGTTCAATTTGACTGCCGCCGCCACTGAGCCTGCAAATTCAACTGGTAAACACCTCATCTTGGATCTGTCTCCAACTGGACTCACCTCCAGCTGAGAGCTGGCAGAACTCGTAGAGGCCGTCAAAGACGGGACAGTCTTCGCCTACATTAAATCTCTGCATCTGTTTATTATATTCTGCCATGTTATCCGGTCGGATAGATCGGAGGAATCGGATATAGTCATCCGAGTGGAATTTGGTCATCTCTTCGGCTGTAGCTTTGTGGGGACGCTGCAAATAAGATCGTTAGTAGGCCCAAACGGACACACAGCAACTACTTACGTAAATCTCCATTTTCCTATACAGGCCGTAGTTGAGCAGCAAATTGTGCGTCATCCTTATCCTGTGCGGTTTCATGGGATGTCCCTGCCCATAGTAGTAGTTACCAATGTCGCCTGAAAAATTATAATTTCAATATTATTTAAGATTCGACGATGTCTATAGCATATCAGTCAAAGCGAGCCAGTCGGGTCGACAACATATGAGCGACAGCAACTACTATAAAACAAAAACCCTTGAAAATAAATATTGTTTTATTTGGATTTTTCCTCTAATTTGTCTAAAGTAGAACTAAACAAAACAATATATAATAACTTATCTGAATAATAAAGAACCAACAATTAAATTCACTATTGAAAAAGAACAAAATCACCAAATTCCTTTTCTCGATATACTAATTCAGAAAAATTTAGACAATTTCGAAACCTTGGTCTATAGAAAACCTAGTCATACTAACCGATATTTGAATTTCGACTCAAATCCCCCGATAATGGTTAAAAAAGGTATCGTAAAAAGTCTATATGATAGAGCAAACATAATTTGTAATCAATCTAATTTTTCCAAAGGAAAACAATTTATAAAAGAAATTCTAAATTTCAATAATTATCCAAATTCTTTTATTGAAAAATGTTTTAACGAAATTGAATTCCCACGAACAAAAC